GCTTTGTTAATTTATTATATGTGCCATACAAAGAGAGTAGATTTGATTTCAGATATGACCCAATTAATCTCACATTTCATTTGGACTATATTTGGACTATTTTAGCAGTTCACATCTTCATGTATCTAATTACTTTTCTTTCACTGATCAAAGATGTAAAAAAAATAAAAAATAAACTCTGTCTCTTTCAGATCAAGTTGCCTTTGTTTTCTCCATGGTAACACCAGCTCCGTTATTTCACACTCCCTCTCCTGGCTTTCTCATAACTCTGCCCTACCCCAGTGCTTCAGCAGTGTACCCTCCCCCTATACTCATCTCTGCTTCTCTCCGCTAGTGCTGCCCTGTCCACCGAGATGTTCAGCCCCGTGTGCAAAGCCGCCACGCAAGATCCAAGGTAAACATCCACTGCCAATTGTTTTTAAATGAATTTGTAAAACGCCTGGTATGGACACGTTTGCTGCACACATTTGCAAACTGCACGGGGAGCAAATACTAAAGCAGATAGCAAGGATGTCAGATTGTGCTGGTGCTCTGAGAACTGTCCAGATGGAGAAGAAGAACAGGTTTTTTTTGGCAAGTTGTAGGTAAAGTCTGCTGTGGAAATTCAGTATAATGTGGCGATTTGGTCTGTTTGAGATCCAGGATAAAAAAATGCAAAGGTAGACAGAAAAATGAATGAAATATTGTGTGCGTGATGTGATACCTACGTATACATGCCCTCAAGATACAGTAGGAGTCTTCCTGTCTAAAATGCCCTCATGATTGATTTATGAATAACTCACTTTCACAGCTGAGCAGATTGTGCTCTAAAATTAACACAAAACTACAAATTGTGTTGATGTGCATATTGTGAAGCGGGAAAACAATTCTGCAATATCAACATTTTGAGCTGTAGTTTCTTGTATGACAAATTCCCATTGAGCGGTAAAGGTTTCATTCATTCATTTGTTTGTGATTTTATGTAGATTTGGATGCGACCATTTCCTGCACGACTCACATACAATACAAACACCTGCATTGTATTCGTATGAGGTGTATGAATTAATGATTGACCTAAATTAAATCCCCTGATAATCTTTTGCATTATTCAGTCAAATCATATAAAACATAATTTATAGACCTATACTTTAAAATAAATGTACTTGTTCTTGATGGAACTTGTACACACAAGATTGATGATCAAGTGTGTCATTTTTTCTATATTTCAGATTCTCTCCTTAGAATCAGAGTTTACTTTTCTATCATTCAAGCTTCACAGAATGACTGATAATCTATGTTGTTGTGTGTGTTTGTATATCTGTGTTTAATCAGTCTGTTTTTATAGAGGTTTAAAGGTTGTTTTGGCAAAAAAATGTGATAAAGAGATGTTAGTCCATTATATTTATGGTACGAACAGAAGCCTTGATCAGATGGCAAGATGGTTAGCGGCCAATTGTTTTCCAAAAATATTTCTCTTCAATAAATCCAAAGCCCACACAGCTTCTGTTGCTCTATTGGTACATTCTCTCAAACAGGTCATTTTCATCTATTTACTCTTTTTCTAATCAATGATAAAGACAATTGCGGTCTTCAAACATGATTTCTTGACTAGAGAAATTTTACCCTTTAAAAATGAGCATTTATTTTGACGTTTTATGTTATAGAATGTGTAATATATCAATAGTAGCTTTTGATTGAGCTTGAAAGTGATGCGAAGGGAAGCATGAAGATGTATGGAGGACGCATGTGTGTAAAATGAGTGAGCCAAAGGGGCGGTGTCTCTATGCATGGTTTCATATGTGCAGCCATTGGGTATCACACGCTCTTACTGTGTGTGTGCCAACCAAGTCCCCCGAAGAAATATGGTTTGGGCTTTGAGCGGGCGGGGGATGGCGTGGGCAGAGGACAGAGGAATACAGTTTGATTCATGGGTCTGTTTTTCCTCCGAGAAAGCATCTGTGATAATAGAAAACAAGTAAAACCAGAAAATGATCTCATAAGAGAAAATATGGTTTTCTAGAAATTGAGATGCAGAGAAATTAACGGTTTGTCTGGCATAAAAACGAATAATCAGCCAAGGCTTTGTGTATTGTGTTTACTTTTTAGATACATAGACATTGTTGGATCAAGGTTTCGATTCAGTCAAAAGCTGCGATAGAGCCCCAGATATATTAGGCTTTATGATACGTCACAGAATTAGAAATTGAGATGTTATGAGCTTTCTTCTCATTTACAAACTCAAGAGCTTTTAGAGAGATTCATACATGTTTGAGTAACATTTAGGAATGTAGGAAATAGCAATCTTGCATTTTGGTATAAATGGCAAAGAAAACTAGATACAAATAACTACTCCTGTTCTTGGTGAAGAGGAAGCTGACCCTCATCTCGCCATGAGCTTTATCAAGATAGTTTTTTTTTCCTCAGAGGGGCTGGACGCTCCCTTGGAAATAGGTGAGGAGCTCAGTCTTACGGGAGGAGCTCAGAGTAGAGCCGCTTCTCCATCAGCTCTACTCTCTACCTGGCAAAGGATGTGGAAGAGAATGAATGGATGGACTAACAATGTTTATTCCTGGATGCAGAAAAAAATAAGCAATTAAAATGATCAATATTCATATCAGATGGATCCTTTACTGCACCAATGGAGAATATGACACAAACTATTTTGATTTTCAAGGGAGAAACTTCAGCATCAGAAAAGTAATAAGGACACATTAGTACATTTTGATTTTAAATGAAACTTGAATGCGCCCTCTCTGAAGCCTGCTGTGCTGACTTGGATGCACCTGAGGATTTGGTGAAAGGAAAGTGGCAGCGCAGCAGTCTCAGGTTAAGACTCTTTACAAATCCAGCCGCATCAGGAGGACTGCTCTGTCGGCACAATGCAGGGGTCTAATCTGGGCCGCATGAGAGCGAGCTGTCAGAAATCTGCTCTTATACAGAGGCTATGTGACATCACTTTAACCTGTCAACTGTCAACTTTACGGGCTTGCAAGATATTTTCTATGAGATATATAATGATAAAAAAGAGATATGACTAAAGTTTGTCATTTGAGCAACAAAATCAGATTATCAGGACAAAAGTGTATCTGGAGCAATTTCAGGATTTGGATCAAAACAGGTTTTTTTTTTTTATGATACAAGAAAAGCAAGATTTTGAACAATTCCTGTCAAATCACATATGCTTTGAAATACTCTAAATTAGGTTTGATCACATCAATTTAGGCCAGCCAGGTGCAAATTATTTTCTCATTTGAGACATTGTCCAATTGTGGAGGACTGGACCTGATTTTGCTTGGTTCATTTTTGTTTGACAACTCATTTGCTAAATACCGATGTAAAATACTTTAATTACACAACATGTATTATAGTATAATGCCTTTGTTTCATTATTATACAATACATTGTAATTTTTTGCGAATGACTGGAAGTTGTACGTAAAATACCCTGATTTTGAAAGTTTTCAGACATTTTTAACCAAATTTCAATTGCCTCAATTTAGATTATTTGTACTAAGTCAGATGTTTCAGACTGTGAGAAAATAGATTTTGTTTCATACAGTGTATTTTGAATTATGTGTATTATGAAAATATTATTCCAGTTCTACTAATTTATAAACTCAATGTAAATAAAAAATGAAAAAAGTGTTATAATATATCAATCTTTCGTACACTCCTGTTTCCATACTGAACAAGATGTTGAGGTGATTGCAGCTTACTCCAGTATTGTTCAGTGACGTGTGCATGTGGTCGGCCTCATTATTTACAATCTGAGTAAACATGGTGATCTTCTCAGGTCAACACAAGTTCATTGTACTTATTGTGTTTTTTCCTTGTCATTCACTCTCACTGCCATCCCCTGTGCTGGCCCAGACCACAACATGTTTATGAGTCCTAATAAACGGTGGGCAGCTTCGTTTATCGCTGTGGGATCAAATTGAATGCGCCGATTTGACTCACTGCAGCTGTTGTTTGTAGTATTTTTATATATGTTTGTGTGGCTAAATTAAGTGGGAAATGAAAGGCACTGCAGAGATGGCGGTGCCCTTGATTAAATGTGGTTGTGCGTGGGCTGAGTCTATGGTGCTGAACCCCTCTGGGTGTTTTGTCAATGCGGGAAAACCAGCTGTAATGGAGAAGACTAAACCAAATGATGGGGTTTTTGTAAAAGGTGGTTGCGTAAAAACAGCCAGAAACAGCCGCAGTTTCCATGGCAGCTTTAGAATGAGATAACACCAAACTAATCTGGTTGGGATTTATTATCATGAACAATAATGATTCCAAAAGCTAAAATATATTGTGTCACACCAAGATTCTTCTTCTTATTTTTTTTTTTTTTTTTTTTTAAATCTATATGGCCTTATTACACATAACATCAAAAGACTTCCTGACTTGCCTCTTTTAACTTAATATTATGGACTTTGACTGGTTACTTTATAGTCCTCAATGTATTTATTCTCGTTACAAAATCAATATAACATTTCATAATAACCGCACACGTTGGACTATTTCCTACACTCATTCTGGGACTACTGGGACACAAGGCAAGAAAAGGCAAGTGTATTTGTATAGCACATACACAAGGCAACTCAAAGTGCTGAACAAAACAAAATAGAGACAGTCACACAAGGTGTTAAAATCATAAATAATCACAGTGCATTAAAAATAGTGAAGATAAAATCCCTCAGTTGTATGCAGAGTTTAACAGAACCGTTTTTAATCTGGATTTGGACATTGTCAGAGAAGAAGCCTGTCTCACAAGGACATTATATGAAATTGTGTGCATATTGTGTATTCTGGTGTCTACATTGGTATTGAGGATTGATCATGAGTGTACAGGGAGATGCAGAGGAACGCTTGTTGGTTCGAATGCGCAAATGACAGAGTTGGGTCCCGGTGCAGTGAGTGGCTGTCTCTCTCTCTCTCTCGCACTGATCATAGTGCAATGTTGTCTTTGGATGCGGTTTTGTTGGAGGATGGCAGGGCAGGGTGGGCGTGTGGGTGGGCTATAGCTGTCACTTCCATTAGACTGTCAAAGGGGGAACCTAAAGGCAAAAAGGCAGGAGTAAAAATAGCAAACTGATCAAAGAGTGGCTTGGTGAAAGAGAGCACTTAAGGAGATTTAGAAGGAAGAGGAAAAAGCAATTAAGGAAATTATACACGATTAGATGAGTTCATATATAACTATATCTATCTATCTATCTATTGTATTTACATTACAAACTTTTTTTATGGAAACAAATACTCATACCAATTTCACCTTACAATACAATCCCCTTGGCTCAAAATATTGATTACGGTTTTATACAAGTTAGTGTGATACAGTTTTAAAATTAACAAAAAAAAAAGCTCAATAGATGTCAAAGTAAAAAATGATTTATATTATTATAATAATTACTTTGTCAACCGTACCAGCTTCAAATGGAATTTTTAGTAATTATTGTGTGAATATTTTATATGCACCCTTTGGAGAAAACTGGTTGTTTTTCACTCATACTGTATGGTGATATTTGAAATGTATAGAGTTTGTAATAACTTATTTTTAACTTTTCAGATGTGATGAAGCCTTTTCCGCACTTTAATCCTGTTCTTGCGTCATTTGAGGTGAAGGGTCAGTGTTTTCTGTGCATTGTAACCATTATTAGCTTGGATGGGATTTAGTCACGGATCACTGGACCTTGAATCACCAGTAATTAGACGATCAAGCGAGTGAACTTGAATAATAACAGCAGATAAAGCAGACAAATGCAAAGGAGCTTGTCAGACACAAGGGATCATGAGGCGTGTAGATACATAATGGAGGCCAAAATGTAGTAGTAGTAGTAGTAGTTTATTCGGTCATTTCATTCCTTTAAACATAAAACATAAAACAAGCTACATCATAATTTGTGCACAAACGACCGAAAGGGTTTAGGCTGAAGTAAAAACTTATTGTGCCTAACCCAATTTACAAACTTCCACGAGAAACAAACACAAACATTTATCGTAAACAATATCAAGTGTCAAACAGAAGAGAAATAAGCATGTACTTAGAATACATATATGTAAATATACATTTGTTTTACATTAATTTATTTTAACTAAATCATGTCATTTAAATTCATTCATTATGGATCTATTAAAGTCTAGTTTCTTACTTTATTCATCCTTAACTTGTATATTTTAGGATGATAGTAGATTTATACAACTTTTTGAAAGCTTTGACTGTTTTAGACTGTTTTAAATGATCTTCTAAATCGTTCCACAGATTAACACCTCTTACAGAAATACATCGACTTTTTGTATTCTTTTTAGCTTTTGCTTTTTTGAAAATGGCAGTTCCTCTGAGGTTATACGGACTTTCCCTGTGTTCAAAAAGCTTCTGGATGTTTGGAGGGAGAAGATTAATATGTGCTTTGTACACTATTACTAAAGTATTTAGATCAACAAGATCGTGGATTTTCAATAGATTTAGCTCTACAAAAATGGGAGTTGTTGGTGCATAGAAATCTGCTTTAGTGATAATTCTTATTGCCTTTTTTTGGAGTAGGAAAATAGGATGAGTATTGGATTTGTAATTGTTTCCCCATATTTCCAAGCCATAATTTAGGTAAGGAAGTATGAGGGAGTTATACAGTAATAGAAGAGATTTTTTATCAAGTACAGTTTTCATTTTTCCGATTACAGCAATGGTTTTTGCTAATTTTGTTTTTAATGTGCTTATATGCGATTTCCATTCAAGTTTTCCATCAATGGTAACTCCTAAAAATTTATTAGCTTGAACTCGTTCAATTTCAGTATTTTTTATTTTTAGAGTGGTATGAACACTAACTTTTCTATTTCCAAAAATTATATATTTTGTTTTACTCAGATTCATTGAAAGTTTGTTTAGATCAAACCATTTTTTTAGAACTGTGAGCTCGTCTTCTACTGTGGAAAGGAGTTGTTT